GTGGGTGTGTGCCCATGTGACTGGCCCCTGGCCCCAGGTGGAGCTGGAACGAGCCAAGACGCAGCTGACGTCCATGCTCATGATGAACCTGGAGTCCAGGCCTGTGATCTTCGAGGATGTGGGGAGGCAGGTGCTGGCCACTCGCTCCAGAAAGCTGCCGCATGAGCTGTGCACGCTCATCCGTGAGTACTGCGGGGGCAGTGAGGGGCTGCCACAGGTCTCAGCCAGGCTCAGAGGAGGCCGTCTCGCCCTCCTACAGGCCATGGGGGCCCGTGGTGTGTCTGTCACACCCGGAAGCCGGGGCCTTCACCAGTTGTCCTCAGCAGGGGTGGCCGAGGGCAGGGCCGTGGGGTCACAGACCTGGTCTCACTTCCTGGCCCCACCATGTACCTGCTGCCACCTTGGCAGGTGACCGCACCCTCTGCACCCCTGGGAGAGGCTGTCACTGCTTCCCCGAGTTGTTAAAGAGGACGCGAGTGAGTGGGTGGAAAGGGCTCAGTGGAGGACTGCTGCGTTCCGTGTGGAGTAGCAGTGGGTTGGAATGCCGCGCTACCGTTGCCGGCTCTCGGGCAGGAGTCTCAGCCCCAGGTTTCCGGGGCCCCCGTGAGTGACCTTAGGAGGCCCGAACTTCCTCAGACTGGGTGCCAAGTTGTATGTGCGTCGGACTCTTTGGGGCACAGGCTTAAAACGGCCCAGGCTGCCTACTAAGTTGGGGTGACTCAGGCTTATGGTGTCACCTGTGGGTATCTCCTGTCCAGGCCTGGAGTCCCGAGCACTTGCCCTTCCCCATGTGGGCCCTTGTCCTTCCCTCAGGAGCCTCCACTGAAATCCTCCGGCAGTGTCCAGCCTCTCGGGCCTCGTCTTCTGTAGAAAACAGACCTTCCTGGACCCTGTCGCTCCTGTCCTGGGGTTCCTGGTGCAGCCCTCTGGCCTCTCACCCCACCCTTCTGTCCACGTGGCCCTCGGGCTCGGGGTTTTCCTGCAGGCCCGTCCCAAAGGGAGCTCAGCAGACAAGGAGCTCGCTTTTCTGTAAATGTGACTCTTCCTGGGTGGGTTCGTCCTACATTTTTAAGTCATCGCCATGTCCCCATTTACTGAGAACTCACTTCTGTCACTTTTGGACTCACCCTTGGCTACACCCAGTGGCTGCCTTTGGGCCCAGGTACCCCCAGCAGCAGCGCAGCGTGAGTGAGTGGTGCAGACTGGCCACCCCTCCGTGTGTTTACTGATGCAGCCTCGGCGTGGAGGCCATGGCACACTTGTGTGACGTACATTTGCCCTCTGCACTAGGCAACGTGAAGCCGGAAGACGTGAAGAGAGTTGCTTCTAAGATGCTCCGAGGGAAGCCGGCAGTGGCCGCCCTGGGTGACCTGACTGACCTGCCCACGTACGAGCACATCCAGACTGCCCTGTCGAGCAAGGACGGACGCCTGCCCAGGACGTACCGGCTCTTCCGGTAGAGCCGCTCCCCGGCCTGACAGACCCAGGGGCTGCAGCTGGAGCCTGTTCCTGTGCGTGTTAGTTTGGACACGAATTTAGTTTAAAAAGCTGTCTGGTTGTATGAACAGTGCAAACAATGTCACCACAGCACCCACGCAGTTTGCGTTGCTTCAGAACTCAATGTGCCGATCAGTGGAGTCAGTGTTGTGCCTGACCGCCGCAAGCCAGCAAGCAGGTGCAGTGCCCAGCGCTGGAGTGCAGCGTGCCGTGGGGAGGCCGGTCAGTGCTCCCCCTCCTCAGGGGCTCTGGGCACACGGGGCTCCACAGGTTCCTTGGAGGAGCCCTGAGCCGGGAAGCAGCGGAGGCCAGCCTATCAGAGCCTCCCTGGAGGCCACCGTGCTCCTGTGTTGGCACCAGGACCCACCTCTGACAAACAGGACAAGGTGAGGGCCCAGTCTGCTCCGAGGAGAGCGGTCCATGCGTGTGCACGCGGCTTCCCTGGTAATAAACAGCTGGCATCTTAGCTCGGTGTTTTCCTTCTCGCCTGGGGAGGGGCGGTTCTTAAGGGCTGTCTGAATTGGCAGCTTTTCTAACATGGAGGCCTT